TAATATTGCTTATTTCAAAAAACTTCTTTTTTTTTTTTTTATTTAAAAAATAAAAAAAAAGTATAAATCCCCCCCCCCCCCCCCTCCCTCCAATAATTTTTTCTGATTTTCAAACTTTATTTACTTAGACAGGTAAAACATTAAAATACAAATTTTTTTGAAATATTTAAATATTTTTTTATAAATTTTATTTTCTTTTATGATTATTAGATATGAATCCATCAAGTAACTCGAAAAAACAATCATTTTTACAACTTTTATCCAATTCATTATTTTTTAATAAAAATAAAACAAAATTTTCATCAAATACTGAAATTATCAACATCAAAAAAATGAACGAAAAATTACATGTAAAATATTTACCTTATTTCTATAGATAACATTTATAATTTTTTTTATAACGTTTCTAACTATTTCTTTATTATTCTTACACCTTTACAGGCCTATGAAAATTTACTTCAAACAAATTTTAAGATTTCAAAAACCTCCAAACTTTCAATTTCTGACATGATAACGCGTGAATCATCACAAGCTTTCAAAAAAGAAAAATTAAAAAATATTTCCTTAAACTTTATCAAAGAACGTTCAAATTTTAAATCTGAATGGAAATCTAAATACTTGACATTGACAACCCAAATGAAGGTGTTGGAGGATGAGCTTGAAACACGAAAGAAAGAGTTGGAAGCTACCAATGCCAAGTTAGACGCAAAAAAAAATGAATTGGATGTCATCGTTACTAAATTAGACACACAAAATAAAAAATTAAAAGCTAAAAATGACGAGCTAGATGCACGTAACAAAGAATTGGTTGCTCAAATTGAAGAATTGGAAGCTTCCAATAACGAATTAGACTATCAGAAGAAAGAAATTGAAACTTCAAATGTCAACATTAATATACGCAACCAAGAATTAGAGGCTCTAAATAAAGAATTAACTGAACAAACTAAGGAAACAGAATCTTTAAATGCCGAGTTAACTGTTAGGACCAAAGAATTAGAGGCCTCGAATTACAAGTTAGCTGAACAAATTAAAGACTTAGAAGCTTTCAACATCAAGCTAACTTCACAAATCAAGGAGACAGAGGTTTCCAATGTTCGGTTAAATGCACAAAAGAAGGGGTTTGATGATTTGACTGTAAAATTAGAGGCACAAATGAAGTTAAATGCTTCCAATTCCCAGAAGAAGAAAACAAAGACTTCTTATTCTGAGTTAGCGGCTTACAAGAATGATTTGAATGTTTCCAATGCTGAGCTGAATACTAAAATTAAAGATTCGGATGCAAAATGCTCCGAAATAACATTGAAAAAGGTTGAATCAAAAAATAAAGTAAGTTTATTAATTTACATATGCAATTTTTTACACTTTTTCTTGTTTATTCTTTAATCATGTATCTTTTTTAGTTGATGCAGGAAATTGAATATCCTCTCAAATCATCCTTAAATACACACATCGAATTACACCATGATCGTGATAGGGTTTTTTCATTTGGCCACTTAGTTTCCTCCTATTTTTTTTTATAAATGTATGAATTTTAAAATACTTGAATTTTATAATTTTATAATTTTATAAATAAATAATGAATTTTTTTAATATGTGAGTTTAATTAAATGAAAAACAGAAATTTGGAAGCAAATTGACTCGAATCCTTAGTAAAAAGCTTTAAAATTACTCCCTAATACGAGAATTCAAATGAGGGATCTAGAATTACTGAATCTGTAAAAAAAAAAAAAAATAAAACCCTAAAAACCATTGCATGATAGTTCAATGCTAACTTCATTAACCATGTGGTGCAAATGAATGGCAAAAAAAGAAAAAGTTGCTTAATAATTTTTTATGCAAGTGATGGTGATGCATTAAAAAAAGAGTAATTAAAATAGTAATTATTTTCTTTGAAAAAAATTCTAATTCGGATAGTTAAAAGCATTCGATTATTTTTTTTTTTTGGAAAATTATCTATTACTAAAATTTTTTGATGTTTGCTTCAATTTTATTAGTAATGCAATTTTAATAAATCCTCTTCACATTGTTAATTGAAGAAATATCGAGACTTTACATCAAAGATTGAATGAAAAACAAAAGAGAAATGAGTCCTTAACCAAGAAACTTTAGATTCGATAAGGTAACTTCATAATTTTCTTGATAGTTCTTTAAGTGGCATTGATCATTAACTAATAAACAGTTTTAATATCAGAATTTTCAATATTGACAATTCCACCATAAATATATCCATTCAAGGTATTAACTTGTCTTTTTTTATAATTATGTTCTTACAATTATGTAATTAAATATATATACACTCGCAGCACCTAATGATTTTCTAAAATTGATCGTGGGAACCACTACGTGATGCCAAGTAAAGATCTAATAATTGCGTTGCTATTACATAATTATTGTTATTTTGCAATTCTCTAACGATGAGGTGACGACAATTCAAATCAATATTACAAAAAAATATTACAATGGCACGGTTTCATTAATTTATATTTAACGTATTTCATATATTATTATTATCACATTAAATTGATTTCGAAATGTGAGAAAATATGCAAAACTTTTAAATCTCAATGATTCAAGATCTTGCCAGAAGTTCTTGTTGAAGATGGCGAGAATGAGGATGATAAATCAACATTCAAAGTTACTATTCATCAACATGAATTATTACAGGAATCAAATCATCATTATATCTTTGATTCATTACCTGATGCATTGAATCTTGATAATAATAATAATAAGAATATAATAATAATAACGAGAATAGGGATAGGTATAGTATTGAAATAAGTCCAAGAATTAAAATTACCTATCATCAATTATTCAAAAAAAAACAATGCAACTGCCACCACCATCATCACAACGACATAAAGAAAATTTTCGTAATTCACATTCTGATCATTTAATTAGATTTCTTGATTAATCCAATCATCACAATTATCTTTATAAAAATATTATCAGAATTAGATGGATAAGAAGAATTAGTTCATAAACTTATTTTGATATTAAATTATTTAAAGGTGAAGGATTGAAAATTATAATTTCACTTTTAAATCAAGATTCAAATGAAATCAAAAAGAAAGCTTATAGATGCAGCGATGTAGGTAATGAAACAAGAAAAAAGTTTCGTAATAAGAAATTAATTCACCCCTAGATCACCTTATTGTTATCGCCTTTATTATTATTATTATCATTGTGATTATTATTGTTGCCTTGACCTTTTTGGTGGCTGACCACATGGACATTTAACTTCTTAAAAAATAAAAATCATAATTAATTAAAAATAAGTCTATTTTTAAAACTCATTATTACTTCTGATTTACCTTGCTTCACACTACCTGTATTTTTCTATCCATTCTTTTAATTGATCAACTTTCATTGAATGTTCATCTCGATACATTTAGATGGTTCTTGATTTGATGATAAGTGATACTCAAGGTTCAACTTTTTTTTTGTTTTTACACCAATTCGAAAATAAACAGTAATCACAAAGAATTGAATTTTTTAAAAAATGTTCCATACCATTCTGTTGACATGTAAATTTAAATGAATAATAATCTATTGTTATTTATTTATCATAAGATTTTATTTGAGATATGATACAAAAAAAAAGGTAAAAAAGCACATTTGCCTATATAAAGAATATAAGAGATTCATCAAATGATAATTGAAAAAGCAACTTGAACTAGTTTAAGAATTGATAAATGAAATGTTAATTTATCAAAAATAATTAATCTTATAAAAAGGAAATAATGAAAACACACTTATATAATAAATTACAAAGTTATTCTAAATTATGAATTAAAATAATTAAAATAATAATTGAAAATAAAATTACATTATCTCATAACCACACTCACCTACTACACCTTTCCAAATGTTATATATTTATATACATAGTATCTGTAACTTGCAAGCGTATAAAAAATATAATCACACTTAATAATAGTAAGTATTAAATTAATCTCAATTAAAAGTATAAATATAATATAGAAATATATATATAATTACCAAAATTCACAATGTGCTAATTTCAAATTATTTAATTTTATTATATGCTGATTCTTGATTTTATAAAACAATAAAAAATGACAATATATTATTCCTACTTGGATTTTCTTTTCTTTTTTTATAATCGAAATTCTACCGCTTCATTAAGGATTTGAGTATATCCTCTATATACAATGTATGGGACTAAGATATCTTACATTTCTTTCTTCTCATTTACTTCTTCGCTATTGTGAGAATTCGAACTGCTAAATTTCAAAGCCTGTAATTTTAATAAAGACAAAATTATTGGTGCAGTATTAAAACATCTTAGACATCTTAAAGTACATGTCAGTAATAAGGATATCTAAATTTAAAAATAAAGGAAAGATTGTAAATAAAAGTATGAAATCAAAAAATCAAACAGATCTTACCCTCGTACCATATAATCGTCATTATCATTTTCACTTCCATCACTTCTTTTAACAAAAATTTTCATCACAGCAAAATATTGGAGATTGTATTTCTCACTTCATAATTAATTAATTTATATTATTCAATTCATCCCATAATAATTTCCTTTCATCTAATCGACTATCAAAGATCGAGAAGATCGAGACCTTTCTTGCGCTCTTAAAAAAAAGGATTACTTTATTAACCTTTAAATCAATTAAATTACTTAATTAAATTAATTAAAATAATTAAAAATAAGAATTGATAAATTTAAATAAATAAAATCAACTCACACACATACCTATCCAAACACTCGCTATTACATTTTATATGCGAGACCTCCGTGACTTTCAAGTGTATTAGTAATACGATCACACATTTCTAATAATAATAAATATTAAATTAATCTTGGTCAAATAATATAAATACAATATAAGAATATATATAATTACCACACAATTGAACGAAATCCATCATTTAATTACATGCTGATCATAAAATTTATCTCTACATACATTATATTATCATGTATGGAACTAGTATATTCGTATTTTTGGCCTTATGTAAGCTCCTCAATCTTGAGATTCGTATTGAATACAATTACAACTTTTCCTCTCCTCTTCCTTCAACTTCCTTTATCTCTTTCATCTCGCTTACCTTTTTCATTATCATAAGGATTTGATTTGTTAAATTTTAAAGCCGGAGATAAATTAACAGTGCAGTATTAAGACATTTTAAGTATATGTTAGCAATAAGAATTCTTCTATTATATTTCATACAAAGAAACTCTTTATCCCTGATAAAAAAAGAGACCACATCAGACAAATCAGATTCAACTGATCAACTACGATGCCATATTCATTTAATTAATACATTGCGCGATTAATTATTTATCAGTTTCACCTTTATAAAAAAAATAGATATATTATAAATATGCTCTAATATACTTGAATTACCATCTCTAAATACTGATATAGTATATACTTACAAAAATTAAAAAAAAAAATTAAAATAAAATGAAAAATAAATAATAAAATAAAAAATAAACCAAAAAATGGAATAAATTATTTAACAATAGTGATTTAAAAAAAAATATTATTAACAGCTTGCAAATAATTCATACCTTTATCAAATATCAGATGATGATAACCTTCAGTAGATTATAGATAAACCTGTGTTCTTTAGGTACTCCTTTAGATAATGTGACAATTCTTTAGGTTCTTCTAATAAATGATAAAAAGTAAAAGTTAGAATTTGTAAAGAAAAACTTAATTTAGGTCTTGGACTTTTAATATAAATTTTTATAACAAAAGTTCAATCGACTAAATATTTTTATTTATTTTTCCTTTTATTAAATTACTGCAAAGTGCATCTTGCAGCTTCTTTAAACTATGGTTACGAAAGAAATTTTTATAAGTGAGTAAATTATTATTATCTATCTGAAAATTACAGATTAAGATTATCACATGTGACAAATAAAACGTATTAAAACAGGTGATCAAATAAAAATTGATATTCGATTGATACAAAATTATAAATACTGTCATGGTCTGCGCAAAACAAGACAAAAATTATGCTAATTAGTCTCACTAAACTCAGTTTAATCACACGATGATTCAATATTTTACTAACATGCTTTTTTATTGTCACAATATCTCGAAACACATTAAGTTCAGGCTATCAGTCGATCAAAACTTGCTTACTAACAATCACAAATAATACAACTACGTGTAATATCTGAAGGTACGATGAGCAAGTGGAGTAAAAGTATCTTTATTGACTGAGACAGACTTTTTAATGCAACTTTGTCAAGAAATATAGAAATAGTTTATTAAATTTATTAAAGTTTCAAAGGAATATGACAATAGCAATATATTACTACTTTGGTGTATCTTATTACTATTGATATTCCGATACACTAAATTATTCGTTATTAAAATTATTACAGATATAAAATAAAAGAAAAATGTAAAAAAAGTAATAAAAGTACTATCCCAAAATTTATTAATTATTATCTTGTTGTTATGATAATTATCACAAAAATAAGGAGTAAAAATAAAGAACAAAATAAAAGAAAAATGGATGTCGAAGGGAATCTTCTATTTTTCTTCCCCACCACAGCTATTTTTATAAACCTTTTCTTGTTTACTGTCATCCTCTGTTATCCATAAAAAACATTTTTGTACTAGAATGAATAAACAGTCATCCTGGATGATAGATGACACACAAGGATAATTCATCCAAATAGTGACACTAATCATTCTCTATCATTCCCATGATTTTTGTATTTCTTGTGCTACTTCAGATATTTCTTCCTTCAAAGGGGAGCTCCTGCAACCACAATTCCAATTCCGCATCCATTGCTTCCTCCATTATTTACAAACTTATGATCTCACACAACTGCAGGAATCTTTCAAATTCGGAACTAGGTAACTTGTAAATTCAATCAGGAGAGATGTGACAAAATTTTCTAATATAGGGCATCCCAATTTTCTGAAAGAGTGCTCTTACCCTTAAAGCTAGCTGGTATATGTTTCAACCATTTTGGTAAGAGATCTCCTATAATTTACACTTTACTGAGGTAGCCGTTTGTACTATTTGTGCATCTAGTATATAATTTCCAAGTCATCAGTACACGTTCATCCTTTGTCCATTTCTGTTGATCGGGCTTGTTACTATGGAAGTTAGTTCTCCTATGTCTTGATCCAGTATGGCCTCTGTAAGATCATGTTTCTCTTCACCGGCAGTCATAACATCTATCGCATAAAGTAATAGGACATCATTATTCAGAGGTCTTTCAATTCTTGTTACACTTTCCCTACTGCTAAATATATCCTGGTATAGTTTATAACTAACTGAGTCCCAGGTATTGACTGCTGTTCTTCCTGCATTTTGTGGATGTTTACGTAGAATTTTCCAGTGATTTGGAAGGAGTTTTAGTAGGTTGGAAAAAGATTCTTGTGCAAGTTTTCATATTTGATAGAGGTTCTAACAATTTCTATTATTGTATCCCTGTTATCTCACATGCGATGAAGTCTTTTAGTCTATAAAGTTTCAATCAGTTTCATGTATGGGATGATTGTTGAGTATCTCTTCACTTATGGTTCGTAGTATGTATGATCCATTTCCCAGAATTCAGTGAATAAAGAAGGAACCTGTTCACCTATCTCAAAACTTATCCCCGTGGACATTTTGTAGGTCAGACTGGTATTCCAGCACCATATTACCAGTTTTGTATGTCATTATCCTAATTCTCTTATCATAGGTTTCCTTTTGCCTCACTTGGACATTTCTTATGTTTCCAGTGTCCTTGATCTTGTGTTGATGAATTTTTCACAATCTCACTAATTCTCCTGTTGATCAAGTCCTCGTATTGGTCTTTATTGATCTCTGCAGCTAGTCAGAGACAATGTTGAGTTCTATGGGTAGAGTGGAGCTTTGGCCATAGAACAAGTAGAAAGGTTTGTGCTTCGTTATTCTGTTTTTGATTGTTCGATATGCAAAAAGGACTTGGGGTATTAACACATCCCAGTCATATTTTGTTTTTAATATGCACTTGTGTAAAACTCTACACAATGTTTGGTTGAATCGTTTTATTAAACCATTACTCTGCAGGTGGTACGCAGACACAAGTCTATAATGTACTCCCATTATGTTTACTAAATTGGTTACTACTTGATTAATGAATACCATTCCTCTGTCAGATAGTATTTCTCTTAGGCAACTGTGATGACATATGATTTCGTCATACAGGAATTATACAATAGTTATCAAGTCAGTTTTTTCAATTGCTTTTGCTTCGGGCCACTTTGTAAAGTAATCTGTAATCACTATTGTATACCTCTTCATCATAGTCATAAGTTTTAGTGGTCCTACGATATCTACTCTTATACAGTTAAAGGCTTGCTCCACTTTAATCAGCCATAGTTCTTCAGTTCGTACAGGCTTTCCTTGTTACTGACATATGTCACACATTTTTATATATCTTCTTATATTTATGTTCATAGTTAACCAGAAGTATGTTGTACAATGTCTTTTGCACGTTATTCCTCAGTATTATCTGTAATAGGTCACTATCTTTGTCATTTTGAATAACATATTTTCTAGTACTAGGTAGTGGTTCACTTACTGCTGTAGTTGTTATTATTATTCGCTAGTTCGATCTTGCAGGAATGTATAATTTATTAGGTATTTAGTTATCTGGTTGTAAGTGTCTGTATTCATTATTATTTATTGATATTTATTGATTTGTTATTATTTTTTTAATGAGTTCGTTGTATATCTGAGTTTCTTGTTTTTTTTCTATTGTTTAGTTCTGAAAAGAGCATCTGCATTGGTGTTAAGTCTTTCTTGCTTGTAGATGATCTCATAGTCATACTCAAATAGTTCAAAAATCTATTGGACTATTTTTCCTTTTGGCTGTGGATGATTCTTCAACAGGTAAAGGTTAAATTATCAGTATATAGATAAAACTTGGGACTGTGTAGGTAGTGTCTAAAGTATCGTATGGTCTAAATAGTGACAAACTATTTTTTTTGATGATAGTATAGTTTCATTCAGTAGTAGTTAAAAGATGACTGGCATAAGTGATAGGGTGTTCATGATTCTCTTTATTTTTCTAGTAAAGTACAGCTTCAATACCTTAGTCAGATATGTCCATAGCAAGCTTGAATTATTTCAAAAAGTTTGAGTAGATCATGATAGATATTGATATTAGGTGTTTCTTAAGGAAATTGAATGTAAGTTGGTGTTCGTGATTTCATTCAAATGAGACATCCTTCTTTGTTAAGTTGTGTAGAGGCTTCACAATCGTGACGAACTTTTTCATGAATCTCTAGTAATAAGACGCTAGTCCTAAAAATGTACGGACATTTGTCTTGTCCACTGAAATGAGATAAGATTACACATTTTTCATCTTCGTCAGGTCAGGACCATTCCTTCAACTGTTATTACATGGTCCAAAAATGCTAGCTTAATTTTGAAGAAGTCACACTTCTCCATGTTTATTTTTAGTTTCATATTTCTCAGGAGAGTAAAAATGGTCTTTATGTGTTCCATATATTTCTCGTAGATCTTAGAGTAGACAATAATATCATCTACATATACAAGCACAAATTTTCAAGTAACTTCTTGAAAGACTCGATCTATTACCTATTGAAATGTCGCAGGAACATTAACGAGTTCAAAAGGTATCACAAGAAATTTGTATATCTTGAACAGGGTGGCAAAGGCTATTTTTTCACTTTCCTGATTTGATATCTCTATCTCTCAGAATTCTAATACCAGGTCTAATGTAGAGAAGAAAGTGGAGTGTTCTCTAGTACATTCAACATGTCCACTATTTGTGGAACTGGGTAAATATTAGGTTAAGTAATGGCGTTTAGCTTTCTGTAGTCAATGCAAAGTCTAAATTTCTTGTTTTTCTTGTTAACTACCACTGTAAACATGGATCAAAGACTGAATGACTTCTTGATTAGGTTATTGTCTAGCATGTGACCTATTTCCTCCTTTAAAAATTTTAGGTATCAAGGGGAAGTTTAGTATGGATGCAATTTGATAAGTTTTGCTTCACTGGTATTTACGATATGCTGGTACAGATTGGTTCTTCCGAGTTGTAAGAGATTATTTGTTGTCAAGCCTAAAAACTCTTTGATGATATTGTTAATTTAGAGATTGTATTGATTTTCTTTCAACTTTTCTGCTCCCCTTTAGATCAAGTTGCAACGGACATCCTGGATCTCACCATGTGATATCACTGAGATGGCTTCCCAGTTTTGTAGTCATTTTTCGCATATATTGTACTTGTCTTTTTCAGTTTTGAGATTTTTATCATACCAACAGTAGGAATTATGTCCCATAGCTTTTCACTGTTTCTGTTTTTACTTCTTTTTTTTGATAACATTAAAACAATACGTTAGGTGGTTATAAATTTTCAAGTTATATAGTCTGAATTCGTATATATCCCTTCTTGGATAATTCTGTATATTATGTTTACTTCTTATTACATCAATTCGTACGATAGTCCAACAAAATTTGTACTGTACTTATCCTCTTTCATATCTGTATCTTCATTACTTTCCTTATATTCTCCTTCACTCTAGTCACTATCTCCATCGTTGCTATTCAGAATTATCACGTTAGTGTTCTTACAAGAGACCTCAACTGTTCTTTCATCATCTCTTAGTATTAGTTTACACTCCTGATAGTCAATAATTGCTTTAGCCTTCCTTGATCAATTGGTATCTAAAACTATGACGTACCTGGTCACATCGATAACTTTCATATTTACTGTCACTGTTATTCTCTCTAGTTTCATAAGCACTTGGATTACAATTCCCAAATAGGAACGTCTCTCCCCATGGATGCCAATTATTTTCCTATTGGATAATTTCTTGATCTTTCGTCCTATCAATTCTAGAAATTTTCTTGACACAATTCTGATAGATGAACCACTATCGAGTATGACCTTGACTTTCCATTCCGCGACTTGCGCCTTGCATGTTATAATATGTTTCCTTTTACATTGGCATGATTGATTAGTTTTACAACTTTTACATATTTTAGCATCAAAACTTTTTAGACTTCACTTCGGTAAGGTGATATTGTCATAAGTTGCCCTAGGGTAATATTGGCTTTCATTGATAATAGGTCTGAAATAATGGAGTAGGTAAGAGTGTTCTGTACTATGTATAGTTAATAAGTGAAAAGAACTTTCTTCATCTTTTGCTTGAGTTTTTTGAATACTTCTTTACCTTTTCTTGAATGGAGTCTTGTGACAATAGGCTGTGTCACTGGCTTATTTGTGAATCTAAGACCTTTTGTCATTTTTCCTTTGCTAGTTTTAAATGAGAGGTTTGTTTCGTTCACATACTCACTCTCTAGAAGTGTAATTAGATATTTAAATGCTGGGCTTTTTTCCAGTTAGTGATGGAAAGTTGGCTGACTTCCTCATTTTGAGTTACAAATGTGCTATTGTTTGCATCACTTTGAGATGCTTGGAGTGTAAATTGGTTTGTGATAGTGTTGGCTTGAGTTCTAGTTGATCTTTGGATAGGGAAGGTATTGGGATTTCTTTGATGTCCTGATCTTATAGGATATCCTCATGATATATATCCTGCCTGATCACATGTATAATAGTGAAATAGGTCATTGGTGTTGTTTCAGTTTTTTGCGTTCTACTTGTCATCTGTTTTCTTTCTTCACGATTCTTTGTAATGTTTTAACTATTGGAGCTAGGGTCTCTACACTATCTGTTCTATCCTATCTTCTTTTTCATCATCCTTATTTTGTGCAAATATGAATTCCTGCATATCTTTATTTTTACAAAATATAACTTGATTATATTTTAAAATACTTTTTAATATTTCTCCATCTATGGCACCTTTCAAAATATATTGATACTTTTGTTGACTTGGAATGTATTTAAAACTATTCATATTTTCAAATAAAGATAAAAATATACTCTCAAGAAATATATTAATTACTATATATTTTTTTTTCAATTGAGTGTCTATTAAATTTCAAACTACTCTTTAGACAAATTATTATTGTATTTTTGTAAAAGGACAATATTTCTTCAGAATGCTTATCAAGTATATGATAGTATAAAATAGATTTATTATATTTGTATTTTGTATATTTATAACTTTGAAGTTTTTTCTTCATATCATAAATTTTAGAACAAAGTAGACAAGAAAAAATACATGTAGTTATTTGAATATAATAACAAAACATATTGTGTTCAAATACTTTTGATCAGATATCTATTGTATAATTGATAATTATTTTCAAGTAACAAAATTGACTATATGCCATATTGAGTGATACAATCGAAGTAAAACAAATTGAAATATGTTACACTTCTGGAAAATGTCAAATTAAAAATAAACTT